GCATGGTGGCGCATGTTTGTAATCCTAGCACTTGGGAGGCTCAGGTAGGAGGATTGCCTTGAGTTCAAGGCCAACCTGAAACAAAGGTGAGGGCACTGATTGGAAAAGAATGGTATACCATAAACTGGGATGGAGATATTTGGGAGGATCCTGATGAAGCTGTTGTATTTCTCTAGTAAACACTGACTGATACACCCAGGCTGGGCTTGAATTCGCCATCTTCCTGCCTCAACCTCCCAGAGTACTAGGATTACAGATGTTATCACTGTATCCAGCTTCTAACAAATATATTTTTGAGGAGGATTTTGTAGAGCTGGTGGAAAGAAAAACCAATGCATTACTTTTAGTAGTTAATTCCATCTTAAGACATATCAAAACCAAGGTTATCACATGATCACATACCAATATATCACATTAATAATTACTGTATTAATATTTTATATTGAATATATTGTGATTTCTTTTCTTTCTGTTTTTTGAAACGTTTCACCAGGTAGTCCAGGCCGGCCTTGTGTATCCCAGGCTGGACTTGTACTTGCACTCTTTCTGACTCAGTCTCGAGTGCTGGGATTACAGTTGTGTGCCATTCTGCTCACTCTGCATTGTGATTTAATACATTCATAAAATATACTATTTGATATGGTGATGATTTTTCAATTAGTTTTATATTTGTAAAACCATAGGAATGTAGTATGTAGTATTTAATAATATGAAGTTACACTTAATATAGACACATCATAGTTACAAAATCTAGGAGACTGAGAATTCCTAACTTCCATATTGACAAATTACTGAGAAATGTTTCAGGTAAAGGGCCAAATGAAATAAAGATTATTACTCAATCATATTTCTCTGACTCTATTCAGGGTTGGTTGCTAGAGTAGACAGTGTACTTTCTCTTTCACATACTGTGGAAAACATGTATACCCAGATTCCCTTTCCTTCTGTCTTTGAGATTCATTACATTTCTTTAAAGAACTTAATGAGTTTGCTCAGGGAGTTGCATCAGAAATTATATTTGTATTAGTGGTAGGAATGACAAGTAGTTCCTTTGTAATGCTGCACCCATCAATACCTGTTTTTGCCTAAGGATGTATCCAACCAATTCTAGATAATCCAGCTTTGAAGTGGGTTGGGCACAGCTAGGTTTCTTTTTTGTTGCTTAGTTTGGTTTGTGATCCAGTCATATGTAAAACAAACTTAAACAGCACTGAGTATATACACTAATTAGGTTCCACAGATGCTAACGAGTGTACCTAGCATTAACCTCAAAATGGTTGTTTTCTTCCATAGTCAAAGACATTTATTTGTTGTTTTTTTTTAAATGCAAGTCAATAGCAATCAGCATGACACTATTACTGTAAATAAATAAGCAAAGAGAGTCTGAAGAAGGAATAGAAAGTTTACTTGGTAGGCAACAAATCTCCAAAATAGTTAACTTATCTTTAGGAAGCTTGGAAGAAGGGCGAGAAAGGGAAACTCAAAGACAATTTTTGCTCTATATTATCATTTAAATTTTTAAGATGAATGTATATTTTGTTCCACTTGTATTATTAAAAATAGGCACAAATTATATGTGTGAGATTATTACTTAAAGCACACATTCTATATTCTATAAATTCTACATTTAAACGATTTAACATAAAGTAAGGAGCCGGGCATGGTGGCACACGCCTGTAATCCCAGCACTTGGGAGGCTGGGGCAGGAGGATCATTGTGAGTTCAAGACCAGCCTGGGCTACAGAATGAGTTCCAGGTCAGTCTCAACTACATAGTGAGACCCTGTCTCAAAAAAAAACACAAAAAACAAAAACAAAACAAAAACAAAAAAACCCGAAGTAAAATATGTGCTATATGTATGCACTTACGAGGATTATTTGACAATACAAATTGGTAATATTCATTGCACAGTCCTACCAATACTATCTTTTAAAATATATGCTATATTATACAGATACATCAACATAATTAAAGCTTAAAACAGAACACAAGTGAATTTCCTTGATATTTAGTCTAAGTCTTTAAATCTTTATCTTCTTATTCACTTTAGGGTCTCATTAAATAGGATACAATGGTTGAGCCACCTTCTTTGTAATTATATATCAAGTACTTTAACAATAACCTAGAATCCAATAAATCCTAATATTGCAGCCTTCTCCCAAAAAAGCTACTAAAAATGTCCTGACACACATCTCTACCCTTGCTTTGCTTGCAGGGAGGGAATGACATAAGAGTCACTGTATTCAAAATTAGAGTACAAAAAAAGAAAAACATTAAGAGTACAGAATTACAACCCAAAGAGTGTTTTTTCATTCTGCTTCTACTTAGCCTCTATTTTTTTACTCTTTGCATTGACTATTCACATTTACAATGAAGCTGCATTATAAGCTTTTAAACTTTCCCCCCTACATATTGTGTGCTTCCTTAGGAACCCCTCAATTTCGTGTGCCTTCCCCCCAAAACTATCATTTTCAAAATATTCTAAAACAGGCCAAGGGAAAGACCAAAAGCTGGCAAGTGATGGACTTCCAGGATTACCCTTCCCAGGAGAATTCTTCATAAAGTCTACATGCCCATGTTGTCCGACACAGCAGCCACTAGCCACTACCTAGTTAATGAAGGTTTAAAATAGATTTCGCCCAAAAGGAGATGAGCCATAACTATGACATCAGGTTTGAAAAGCTTAATACAAAAAAGGAATATAAAAATAGCTCATTCGCTTAGATATTATTCTACATGTTAAAATGATATATATGTTGGATATACAGGGTTAAAATATTTTATTTCAGCTAATTTTGCCTCTTTAGCATTTAACGTTCCGCGCATAGCTCGCCTTGAACTTCTACCGTGCAGCACTGGTCTAAGTAACTAGGAGCACACTGCTGACACGAATATGTTTCTTTCTCTCTACTGTGGATTCTCCAGCTGCTTCTCCAACAGGCTGGAACACTGTTAATTCTGCCAAGGCCCGGCGTAGCCTTACTGAGTCCTCAGTCTTCGGCTGGGGTAAGGGAGGTGATACATACAGGAGCAGCTAACTCGGTCCGTACCCACTGCAAAACTCGCAACGTGGCCTCCGGAATCTCCTCTGGCAAAGCATCTCTGACGTTTTACACGAAAAGGCCACACAGTTTTAGAATTTCCGTCACGGCCCGCTTCAAGGTACAGCACCCTTGCAAGTCCTCTCGGAAAGTGGTGGGGACTGAAGCCTGACTGGCTGTCACTGCTGTTACTGCTTGGTCCAACCAAGTTACTTCTCAGTAACTGGCTCAGAAGTCCCCGCCATTTTTCCCATTTTTCAAAATGGTTGTTTTCTATAATAGATTTTTTTTTCTTTTTTTTTGGTATCGGGGATCGAACTCCGGACCTTGCGCTTGTGAAGCAGGCAGTGGAACCGCTGAGCTAAATGCCCAGCTCTTATATTTATTACCTAGAAAGAACACAATGTATTCTGTTCGTAAAAAAATACTCTTTTCACATGAAATATAAAAATGAGTAATTACCAATCCAAAGAAATGTTAACTATCTTTAAAATAATTGTTTGAAAAAAAGAAAAAGAAAAAAATAATTAGCAGAATCAACTTCTAAGGTAATTTAAAAATTATATACACTTTATAAAAGTTTCAGATACCAGTTTAAGGGAGTGAAAGATTATATACTGTACAATCAAGACAAATTTCTTTGTTACAGTTTGTAAGAGAGGAGAAAAATGACATCTTTTCTTTTTAATTAACCTGTTATAGATACATTCTCTGGATCAAAGAACATTTGCCATACATACTGCAACAAATTCTTTTCTTGTGATCTGTGATCATGAGATTAGTTGGAAGGGGAACACTTAAAAACCTTCTCTAGGGCCAGGGATTTAGCTCAGTGGTTCTGCCACCTGCCTCGCAAACACAAGGACCTGGGTTCAATCCCTGGTACCAAAAACAAAAACAAAAACAAAAAACACCCAAAAAACAAAACCCTTCTCTATTTATTTACTTATTTATTTATTTATTTATTTATTTATTTATTTATTTATTTATTTATTGAGACAGGCTCTCACTATGTAGTTGAGTGACCTGGAACTCACTATGTAGTCCAGGCTGGTCTCGAACTCACAGTGATCTCCTGTTTCAGCCTCCCAGAAAGTTTTGCAGGTAGTATATTTATAAAAGTAAGTTCATTCCTTGTAGATGAGAGAAGTTGAGAAAACTATGTAGTTCAGGCTGGTCTTGAACTCATGGCAATCCTCCTGCCTCAGCCACTCCAGTGCTGGGATTACAGATCTACGCCACCAAGCCCGGCTAAACCTTCTCTTTATTGACAAAAGATATAGAAGAGGAAGCACAGAGATGTATAGATGGAGAGAGATTCTTAGAAAGGGAGACTTCCTTTGCTTAGCTTTGCGATCTGGCTAGAATTGGTTTGGCTGGCAGAACCTACATGGGGCGAAGGACGCCTGAAATCCGAAGAGGAGGCAGTAACTAACAAAAATGAGTCTTTCCTGTAAGTTTGGCATTTTTCTTGCTGCTGTGTTATTACATGATTTATTCATACCCACCCAATAAAAGGAAGGTGCCAATATCACTCCCTTTTCACAAGGAATAACATCAAACCCGCCGAGGTCACCCAGCACAAAAGTGGCAGTGCTACTCGAAATTGCTCCACAGCACGCAGCGTCCAGTGCTGCGGTCGGATTCTGCGCGCAGTGTCACCCGTCTAGCCACCTCCTTCGTGGGACAGTTCCCGGTACTGAGGGAACCGCGGACCAGCGGAGCGATCGTGCTCTAGGAGGGACAGCCACCGCGCCCAGCCACGTCCTGGCACGCGGGCGGGCGGAGTCGCCTCAGGGTAGCCGTCCCAAGCTGCTCCCCCGATTCCCTCAGCTCCGCGCTCAGGTTTCCCCTGGAGCACCACGCGAGACGCGCTCTACCCCTCTTCGGTCCCCTCGCCTCTCCCTGCCTCCTCCTTTGGCCCAGAGAGCCAGAGGCAGACAGGTTACGCAGCCTCACCTGTCTCAGAGGTGGCGACTGGCCCAGTGACTGACGCCGTGGTCCTCCAACCAGGCAATGGCAGGAAGGTGGGGCCTCGCTGAGACTGATGGCTTCTTTCCTCCAATCCTGGTACAGCGATTTTCCAGCCGTAGCCTCGGCGCTCGGCGGAGAGCGACAGGTGGTGCTGCGTTACCTCGGCGTCACTTGCATGCTTGAGGAACAAGCCTCGGCAAGTGCAGGGTTAGGTCTGCTCCGCTTATTAACTTTTGAGGTTGTCAATTCAGCCCTTATTTTAATCCGAAGTGGAAATTTCCCAGCCCTTTCCCGTCACCTCAGATTGGGGCGGGATGAATAGAACCTTCACTGGCCTATTGTACCACGCGACGTTCAGTGACAAAGTGACCGACACTTTATGGCGCCAATGGAACTCCCCATTGTTAGGGGTCACTGTGACTGACCACAAGGCCAACTAATCCACTTTAAGGTCGTGACGCGATAGTCAGAGAAGCTGGCCAATAGACATAGAAAAAGACCGGAAGTTAGTTTGTGGGGACTAGGAGGCGGGTGTTCGCAACCGCCTAGGCCTGCGCGAGTCAACGCAGCTTGGGGACTGCGAGCCAGCAAGCGGCGCGTGACGGAGAGCCTGAGTGATAGAGGATCTTGGCCAATGATCTGCAGCCGCTGGAGACCTGCAGCCATTGGCGAGTCGAGGGGGCGGGAGGCAGCAGGTTAGGCAGTGAGAAGTTAGTGGCGCTGCTGGGACGGGGGGAAGGAGACGCTTCTTCCTCCTGCTACTCCTCTCTCGGGATCGGCGGCTGTGGCTGCGGCCGCGAGTGACTAGGCAGCGTCTTGGACTCCGCGTGTGAACCATGCTGACCGACGGCGGAGGCGGCGGCACCTCCTTTGAGGAGGACCTGGACTCTGTAACTCCGCGATCCGCCCCAGCCGGG